GTGTGTGTGTGTGTGTGTGTGTGTGTGTGTGTGTGTGTGTGTGTGTGCCTTTGAGTCAACGTTTTTGCACAGTCAATCATGGTCATCACTCTCAAATGAAAGATGACTAGGGAGAAATGTAAGTTTTCAACATAAGGTTGTCATTGCTTTAAGACTTGCATCTGTTGTGCAGTGGCAAACAGGAGAGAGAAATATGACAGCATAATGTAAACCTTCATGTTACAGTTCATGGATGGTGTGGGAGAAGCACAAATAACTCAATAAATCAATGTATTCACACAAATTCATGATTGCGTGTTATGAGTGCAAACACTGATTGTGTGTTGTGTAAATGTAAGTGAAGGTGAATATTAGGGCTTCAAATAGTGATAATGTTACTTGTTATTTAAATAATCAGTTAATTGTTTAGCATGGAAAATCTGACAAAACTATTAATGGATTATTTTAACAAATGTTTAAAAAATAGTAAAAATTATTACAAACAAACAAATTTCCAGAGGCCAATGTGACATATATAATTTTGTCCAACTAACAGTTTACAATTATATAAAACAGCGAAAAGCAGCAAATCCACATTACTGAAAAGACAGAGCCTGTGATCGTTTGGCAGCTTTGCTTGATGAATCGATTGAATCGATGAAATAATCGATTATTTTCTGTTTTACGGTTTTATTGTCATGACACAATACAGGATAGCACAATGAAATGCAGCTGTTGTCCCCTCCATGTTGCTTCTCTAATTGATTGACTATTTCATAGTGAATTTGTGTGCATATGTGGAAGATTGGTTTTCACAGCCTGTATATATTCCACACAGCAACATAAAAAGGTACACAACAGACAAAAATACACTTGGTCGCATAGACTGTATACCTACATATCCTAACCCATAGTTGTAAGCACATTCACCACATGCACTTAGTCTAGATCTTTCCAAACAGTGTCAACAAGGCAGTTTCTTCAGGGAGAAAGCTCCACTCAAAGCAAGCTCTTGACCATTTTTAAGTCCTGTATTTAAGACCAAAAAGTCAATTGCTATTGCGAGTGCCACAGGTGTGTTATGGCTTTGTTGATCATGTTTGAAAGATTGAGGAGGGGCCATCCATGTTTTTGCAAAACAACAGGAGGTGAGGGGTAACAGAGAGCTCTCGTAGAGAGTTTGCGTATATGACGTGGAGTCTTTGCTGGGATCGTTTATGAACAGCAGTGGTGTTATCAAACTGAGTTTATTGTCTATAATGAGTCATTGGTATTTGAAGCTGTTGAACATTCAACTGTCTTGCTGTGGATGAAAGTGGGTGTCGGCATCATTTGGTGGCTAATGAATGGCGCTGTGGGTAGCCATGGTAGTCTACTTAAGTGTAGGACTAATTTGATACAGGTGGCGCACAGCTAGGTCTATGGTTTTTGACTGTGAGGCAGGGTAAAGGTGGTTGGTTTGAAAATTAATGGATCCAAAGAGCCTATATTGGAAGCAAGGCATCTTTATTACTGATCCTTACTGTTTATTACTGACCAAAACAAACGGTGTGTCAGCAGTGGGGTCGTGTCCACTGCTGGGGGTGTTTGATGTGCCAGAGACTAGTTCTTTTGTTTTGTCACTATTTAGCTTGAGGTAGTTTTTTTGGGCACCATTGTGTGAAGAGGGAAATGGAGTGTTAAGAGGCTGTGACAGAGTTGTTGTCACTGAGTGATCAAAGTATGGCAGTGACATGTATCATCAGGGTATGTGAAGTATAAATTGTGCTAAGTACAAATTGAGGGTTGATGTCACTGTGCCAGTCACTCATGTCTGTGGTCTGTGAGGAAATTGAGTTTGTACCCAATTAAAAAAGTCTACGGTATTAATGAATGTAGCACAAATACAAACAGGCTTAAGGTGAAGGACCTGATGTAAGGTTTTTGGGCCCTGAGTAACAGCTTCAGGCATCTCACATACACACAAGCACTTCCTCCTACTTCCATCTGGGATGTGCATGGTGTGTTCTCATAGCAAGTAATTTCTCTCATTCACAGCTGGTCCTGGTGTCTATGAGTTTTGGTAATTCACTTCCATTTCGCATTTCCATTCAAATGGCTTTACCCGTAAAACTACTGCAATCAGCCTGCTTATATCAGCTGAGCCATGTGTGAGTCTGTGTGTGCGTGCTGTGCTGCTGCTGTGTGTGCAGGCAGGCTGTTTTGGGAAGAGCACACTGTAATCTAGAGCCCGTCCAATCCGTTTCTTCACCATAGCAACACACCTGGCCATTGAATATTGTTGCATATCAATCTGTGTTTGGTTCTGTTCGGCTATAGGTTTATGAATACATTCTGCTTCCTCGCTGGTCTGATTGGCTGAGAGAGAAAAGCAGATGACAGAGCGAATACCTCTTTGTCCTCTCTGGCCTGGACTTCTTCAGATCTTTTTTAGAAACACAAACTCGTATGCCTATGTGAGAGCATGTGTGCATTCAGGCATTGAAAGGCACCATAAAAAACCTCAGGCAGGTGCATCTAATGGAAATCCACAACAAAGCGTGCTCTAGGAACAAACAAGATGGGGACGCTGGAATAAAGGGAGGACAAGGGAGGAATGAGAGCATTCTCTAAAGGTCTGAACGCTTAGCCTCACACTCCCAGCAAAATGTCAGACGCTGCCTGTGAAGCCGTTGTCGATAGAATCACACTTTTCAGCATTTGTGAGTGTGTGACGGTGTGGGTGTGTGTTTGCGTGTGCTTGAGTGTTAATGTTATTCTCAACTGACACGTGTTAGGATATTAGCCCTTTGAACAGTTCTGTCATGCAGCCACTTTTGCAAATGTCAATCATTGAGTGAAAGGGTATGAAAATATTTCACTGTGTGTGATGGAATCTGATTGAATTGAATGCATGTCCAGTATGTGTGTGTATATAAAGATGGACGACATGACAGCTCCTCAACAATTAAGTCAAAACATCTTGACTGTCCCCTGGTGACTGGCAGCATTATAGGTCATAAACCCCGCCCCCTTCCAAGTAAGCGGATAGTACATGGACCAAACTAAAAGTACAAAAAGTACACACAAGATGGTTTCTCTCATTTTAAGTATTTTTTTTCAACACGCTGATAAGGTAAGTGTAGTTTTTTTTCTAATAAGTATGGTTTTAATAAGATAGTTCCTGCTGAAGTGTGACCTCATAATTGATAGCTGCTCCGAGTGAAGTAGTCGCGGAGCCGGAGGATCAGAAATTCAGTAGGAATGTCTAGAGGAGATGTGTCAATTTGATCATACATTTATTTATAGAGAAATTGTGGTTAGTTGTTAACTAAATAACTTCTCTCAATAAGCAGTTGTAAGTTGGTCTGAAAAAATGTCTCATTAGAAAATGTGTAATTTCCCTCTGTTGTGATTTAAAATTGAGTCTATTAATATTCCATATGTGTATATAGGAAAAACAACTGGCTTTAACAATTACACAATATTACATTGTCATCATACATGATGACAATGTTAATTTCATTTCTATTGAACACTTGATTCCCACCTGTGAATAATCTCTTTTGGCATGTTATTCATGTAGTCTTACTTACCATGCAGGATGATGGGAGTTAAAGCTCTAGGGGTAAAAATAACTTGCATAGTAGGAGGGAGCTTTTCAATCGGAAAAACAGATTAGAGATAAGTAGGTACTGCTCACTCCTGTGAATTTCAATTCCAGCATATCACCAGGATGAACACTCCAGGTGATGTGTTTGTCTTTGTGTGTACGTTGTGTCACTGTGGGCGTACGCAAACGTGTGTGCGGTCTGTCTGCATGCGTTTGTGTGCGTGTGTCTCGCATATATTCAAATGAGCCTGCCACGTCTTTTTGTCAATAGGTGGTCCTGCCAAAGTATATGATGCAGTTTCAAAAGAGAGAGGAAATTACTTTTCTCTCAAGTCATTCTGTCGAGGCGAGGGCTTGGTATGAGATGACAGCAATAATTAAACTGGCACAGTCAGAGAGGCAGGCCCTGTTGTCTCCCTAAAAACACGTTCATACACAAATGTCCACATTCACAAGCCTTCACTGCAGCTGACAAGGGTAAAAGCTGAATACACAGCGCTGACAAGACTTGCTGTGGTGACTGGATTAGATTTGTTAGAAGAGAAGTCTGGAATCTCTACCTGATTACAGATCCCTGATGCGTTTCTGCTGGTCTCCATCATCACTACAGAGCTTTGATTCTCAGCACAAACTTGATTAGACCAGACCCGACTGGTCTGGTCCGGGTCAGGATCCATTATCTCTAAATTACCTCAGGCTCATTTTATTTGCTGATTTTTTTTTAACCACACGAAACAATGTGTTGTGTGAACAAGTTCATAACAATAACTAGCCCCCTGTTGCTTTTCCAGCACTTTTTATGGTCCTTTAGAGCTGTCAGGTTGGCTAAGATGAAGCATATTAACAAAGAAAAGTATGCATATCAATGGGAAATTAGCATCAAGATAAGTCATTTTGACCTAACAGAAGGTAGTAGATGTA